AATTGATTGATATATTAAGAAAGATGTTGTACCAATTTTAAACTAAAACTAAAAAAACATTTAATAAAAAAAAAAAAAAAAAGGAGAAATCAGTAATAAGTTACCTTGTATGGAAACTTCTTGCAAGGCATAAAAATAAGCCCCCAACCAAAACATGAACAAAAGCAGAAAACAAAACACATCACAAAAGACACATTGCAAAAAGATACCGTATGTAAAAATGACTTTGCATGTATTAAATGGAATCAAATTGGTAGAACTTTCCATACTGTCAACAGAGAGCCAATTTAAAGGTTAAGTTTATACTTTTAGTAGAGGACTGGGAGAGTAATAACTGGCATATAAAATGCAAGATCTCCAGAGATTGCCTACAGAAAATTTTTTTTTTTACTTCACTCTCCCATCTCGCAGAGCAGTAAGATTAGAGAGGAAGAGATTACAAGAGAATAAGCAGGCATTCAATGGGAATATCCTGGGCTGTTTCCAGGGCATGCTCATGGCTATTGGTATCAGCACATTGTTTTTGATTGTATTCCCTATTGTGTTTCTGCTTACTCTTTTGTCATCCATTCCTCCCCAATCTCTCTGCTCTGTAGGGGGAAAAAACAGGAACAGGACAATATAGACTATGATGGCAATCACAAGATATAGGGATGCTGCAAAGGTGATAAGCAAGGATTACCTATACTGCGGCATGTTTCTCAAAGTATCGGTGGCATTCTCGTACTGTTTTTATATGACAAACAAATGTATCCTTTCTGACCTCAAAGATGAAATTTCTTTTAGGGAAACATATTTTAAAATATATATTTTATTTTTGAGCTTACGATATTACAGAAAATATTACCTGCATTCATAAGTCAGCCATATGTAAAGTTGGAATGTCATTAAGTCTAAGGTTGCTACACTAAATCTGAATAGCCAAGACAAAAGATAAATATTAAAATTAAATAATAGATGGAAGAGATGAACGCTGCATATTATGTGCAGTTCTCATTCAATTCTGTGAGCTTGTACAATTCTGGGTTCCTAAAGTTTTTATTAGTCCTTACCCGGTTTTGACGAGTTCTGCGCTTCCACGCATGCGCAGGACGCATATAGCGCCTGCGCGATCCTCCAGGAGCAGCTGGAGCATCGCGCAGATGCTAGTACGCATGCGTGCACCGCACGCGTGCACGAGGGCGCCGC